TAACAGCTGATTGGCGCTTCGCAAAGTGGCTTCCCTATGAGCGATCTTTGCAGAACGACAACGATTTTTCCCCATTGGAACGCATTAAACGGGTTTCAATGCATTCCAATGGGGAAATGGTTTCTGCAAGACGATGTTTGCGCTAAATAGCGATTTCTATGGAACAGATTATTGTCGCCATGTGGGGCACCACTGTAGGGCTTATTTTCAGGGAATTTTTTTTTCATATACAACAATCTACATTTATTCAAATGCAGTCATGTCATCTTCTGGTTGCTGCACAAGGGTGGAGGGTGGGCTTTCACTTAACTGGGGCTTATTTTTGGGATAGGGTTTATATTACGAGCCTCCTGAAAAATCATACTAGGGCTTATTTTTATGTTAGGCCTTATTTTCAGGGAAATAGGGTAGGTCAGAATGGAGAAGCTGTGAGTATTCACTTGTTGCTAGGCCCCAGCATGACAAATGATCAGGAACGATGGAAATTGTAGTCCAACATACTCTGGAGGGCCACCCATCCTCTACCTGCACTTCAGTTTGAAGTGCTATGGTTAAAAACTAGACTTAAAAAAGGTCTCTTTTGTCTGAAATAAGATTTTCAGGTTTACCAGTGTGAAAAATTGGAAACTTTGAGGAACATAGAGAAGATACTGACAAAATACTTTTTCTTTTAGAAAGTGTGAAATGCTTTCTAAGACAATGTTTTATTCACTGAAGACGCCAAGAATGGTGTGGTATGATAGCCTGCATATAATACAGTCAACGGAATTAGAGGAAGATAATTTCTGTGCTTATGCAGCATATACCACATTCAGTTCCAAGATGCATGTCTGTGCCTAGTGAGTGATTTTCTTTTCATGAGATACCACTGCACAAGTATCTTTTCTCTTTGTTCACATATATCCCCCGTGGATTGATATAGTAGTGATACAGCAGGTTTGGGCAAAATGTTACTCTCAGATTGGACTGCAAGCATATACCACATTCAGTTCCAAGATGCATGTCTGTGCCTAGTGAGTGCTTACATTTTCATGAGATACCACTGCACAAGTATCTTTTCTCTTTGTTCACATATATCCCCCGTGGATTGATATAGTAGTGATACAGCAGGTTTGGGCAAAATGTTACTCTCAGATGCGATTGGACTGCAACTCCCAGTATGTTGTACCATCGGCTGTGGTGTGTAGGGATGGTGGGAGGTGTAGTTGAACAGCATCTGGTTTACAGGACTTAATGCTTGCCTGTGTTAATTCTGTTTCTGTCTATTTTCCCCCATCTTATCTCTGCTTTCTTACATTCATGCCGTTTGCTCTTTTTTCAGCTGAATGCTTCAGATGATCGAGGAATTGAAATTGTCAGAGGGCCAATCCTGAGTTTTGCCAGCACAAGAACCATATTTAAGTAAGTGCGCTAGAGAAGCCTTACTGGATGCTCAAAAGTGGCTCAAGAGCAGCAGTCAGCGATGGTGGGAAGAGAATGCTTTCTGATGAAAAGCTTATACGTAATGTGCTTTAGGCATTGGGGTGTGCTTTTCACGCACCTCAAAGAATGTGGAACAGAATGGATAAAAATTGGATTGAAATCTACTGATAGGTCTTTGAATGAATTGCATTAGGTTGGCAATGCTTTTTGACCGAAAATGAGAGTCCTTCGCCTCTTTGAGTTAAATCATTGGTCCCTAAGTTGGTTCTGCAGGTGTTAGTCAGCTTAAACGCACAGAAGCCCTAGTTAGCATAGGCATTGGTGAGGGTTTCTGAGGGTGATCGATCAACATCTGCAAGGCCACAGATCGAGTATCACTGAACTGCTCAAATAGAGAAAGATAGAGATGATCTAGAATGGATTTAGAGTAGAAACGCTATTTTGATACTCAGAATATGTCCCTGGGCTCAGAATTAATTCTATTTTAAATATATGTCTTTTGTACAGTACTTGATTCCAATTAGAATCTCAGGGCTTAAGTAAAAGAAATGAAGCAAATTCTGCAATGATGAAGTCTTTCCATCTGTAATTTACAGAAAACTATAACTTATGCTAGAGTTTGTACAAGTAGTTGGAAACCTTCAAGGTATGTTATGCTTGTCTGTGACTTAGTCTAGCAGCAAAAAAATAGAGAATGTCACCGAACCTGTGTTACACTTTATTATAAAATTATTTTTACAGAAGGTAAACAGACCGCATAAGGGAATAAAAACCAAACTTTAAAAGGGGGCAGTTGGTTATTTCTGCTATCATAAATACAGTGGTATAAACTGCACCAACCAATTGCGGCTCAATAATGAGTTGCTGCTCTTACTCTTTTCCATGCACAGTTGGTAAGACTAGGTGCAGAGCGAGAAGTAGAAGCAGCAGTTTGTTAAATAACGGTAATGATTTCCATCACTGTGCTTATGGTAGCATAAATAACCAGAAAAATTCTGCCCAGCATTTTTAATTTTTAAAAAAATTTACAGAAAGAGATTCTATTTCCCTCTGATTCTGAGATGAAGCCAGGATGGTATTTTCATATTCTTGCTTTCCCCTCATCATCATGCACATGTCCCAGTTGCTTGCTAGAGGGGTTGTCAGAGCATTTCGAAGGAGGCTGTGGAGCCCTCGTCAGAGGCTGAGTTTCATTGGAGGAAGTGATGCCTTTGCGGTGTTGGTCTGCACATTTGCTGCAGCTGGATGAGTTCTAATGATGCTGAGTTTTTACAGCACCCTTTGAATTTTACAGACTTAAGCTCTCTCATGTGTTTCTCCCTCCTGTCAGGAAAGGCTTTAAGATGGTGATATTGGATGAAGCAGATGCCATGACGCAGGAAGCGCAGAATGCCCTCAGGCGTGGTAGGTTCACCAAGGGAACAATGTGTGAAAGGTGGGCCTAGCTATTTGTGCTGCAGAATAGGACTGTTGTTTGACATCTCTGCAAATTCAGCCTTTTTTTCAGTGTCTGGCATTCATTAAGCATCTTCCTCCTGAAATGATTTCTTCTGGACGTTCTCAGTTTCAACATATTTAACTTGCTTGCAGTGTCTACTTCTGCAAAAAGCTGTATTTTCCTTCTTAGCTCTGGCATAGGTGAAGGTTACTGTTGCTTGATTTATTGTTCAGAACCTATGCTTTGTGAAACTGCAACTCTCAGAGTCCCCTAAGCCCTGGTACTCTCAGATATTATTGTGAAAAGGTCAAGTGGGCTTTGTAGTCCTTAGACTTAACTTGCACCACTGACAGGACTCTAAGTAAGCTAGGCCGAGGCAGCACTCTCAGATGACCCTATGGCAAGTGTACTGTTCAGGAAACCAAATGAGTTTTATAATCTTTATTTTATTAAAGAAAAAGCATGTTACTAGGTATCAAAGCCAAATTAAACCAAAACAAATAAACTAGCATTGTGCTGTTTAGTTACACAGATGTAGTGAGGCAAAGAAAACATGAAAAATATAAAAGAGTTCAAAAACCTTACAAAAACACAAAAAGCCATTAAAAAGAATAAAAACAGTTCCAGTCCAGGAAATCATTAGTAAAAACAAAATAATCCAAATAGGTTATAAAAAGGCTATAGTCCTCAGTGATCCTATAGAATAAAAACCCCTAAACAAAGGTAAAAATCCATTATATGTCCCATAGTCCTTAGAAAAGAAAAATCCAGTAAATATACCATAGTCCTTACAAAATTACAAGAGCATAGTCCATATGGAGTATTCCAAGAAAAGAAGTCCATAAAGAATATTCCATAGAACAGTCCATAGAAAATAGTCACTGCGGGGGGAATCCTGAAAGCTACAAAATCATACAAGCAGCATAAAATAATTGACAGGATTAAAAATAATGCATCTGGAAATTTTAGGGAAACAAAAAGGTTTACTCTCGAAGGCTTTCAAGGCCGGGATTTGATGGTTGTTGTGGGTTTTTTGGGCTCTTTGGCCATGTTCTGAAGGTTGTTCTTCGGAGCACAGACAGAGTTCTGACTCCTGTCCTCTGAAGATGCCGGCCACAGAGACTGGCGAAACATTAGGAAGAACAACCTAATGGTCTACGCTTGGAAGTGAAAAGACATAGTCTTAGAGCAAAGTGTGACTTTATTAAGCCACCATCTCACTGGCATGGTCTGGGCATCTGCAGAAGGCCCTTAACTGAGCAGCTTAGCTTTTTTCTTAGATGTGTTTAGCATCACTTCATTTAGTTCAGGAAGTCTGTAGCCTGATTTCAGTATTAAAGAGAGCTGAACTCTCCTTGTGTTGCCTTTGCAGTGATAGAGAAATTCACAGAGAACACCCGATTTTGTCTGATCTGCAACTATCTCTCTAAGATCATCCCAGCCTTGCAATCCAGATGCACCAGATTCCGCTTTGGCCCTCTCACTCCAGAACTCATGATCCCCAGGTTGCAACATGTCATTGAGAAGGAGAAGTAAGTAGAAACTGCTAGCGGGTGGTATCCTGACCTATTTCTGTTGGTAATGCCTGGCACCTGTTTCCTGTTTTCACACCATCCCCTTGGTGTTGGGAATTTTAGTTTTGCAATAGATAAGTACA